ATATAAATATATGGCTTTGCCCCTGCCATGTTTCCTAGCTTTTCTCCTTGCCCTCGCTTCATTGTTTAAGGATTAAAATATGTTAAATACATGACCTTAATTTCCAAAATGATAAGTATATTTCCATGACACATGCTAATAAAAAGGTAGCTTCTTATACTGAATAAAAAAAATCAGTAAAGTTGCAAGATGAAAAAAATCAGTGTACAAAACCAGCAGCATTTGGGCCGGGGAGATAGCTCAGCAATCTACGTGCCTGCCTGGCAAGTGAAAGGACCTGGGTTCCATTCCAAGTACCATGAGCCATGACAGCTCCAGAATTCTCGTCGCACCGTTCCAGCCACCAAAACCAGGTGTAGTGGCGCACGCCGGTAATCCCAGCGCTGGGGAGGCTGAGAGAGCAGGATCACTCTGCGTCTGAGCTGTGTAAAGAGACCCTGTACCAAATAAATAAATAAATAAATAGAGGCATTTTGTACACTGGTAGTGAACACATTACTGTGGCTTAAACCAAAACCTCATATGCCCATCTGTGTGGCTTTTGGAAGTGATTGGATCCCAGGGTATGCTGCTCATCACTGGATTGATCCACAGATGGGCTTGTAACTGAAGACAGTGTTGGGAGGTGAAGGCTGGGTTGAGGAGATGGTCACTGGGCACGTTCTGGAGGGGTCTCTCTCCCTCCTCCTCTACCTGTCCTGCTCCCTGCTATCATGCCTTGAGGAAGCTCTTCCGCGATTTGCCCCCACTGTTGCCACCCTGCTTCAGTGCTGGAACACTACGGACTGAAACCTCTGCAAGCTATGAGCCAAGACAGAGCTTTCCTCTGAGTCGTGGACGTCAAGGTTTGTGTCCAAGCAATGAGAAGGTAACTAAGACAGGAACCCAAGGCCATCACAGAGTCACTGCTGTCCTCATCGTGACACCTACAGCTTTTGGCACAGCAAGAAAAATCAACAATCTTAAAATTCATGTTAAACCATTTCCCAAGGCCCAGAAGGGCCTAAATTATCCTGAACAAAACCAACAAAACCAAGCAACCTCACATATAACTGGTGCAATCACAATAACAGGCTTCACAATATTCTAGAAAATATAGAAGCCAAAAAATCCTGTTATTAGAATAAGAACTGGAACATAGACCAACGAAAGAGAACAGAGCACTCAGAAGTAATCTATGTCCCTATAGCAAACTGCTCTTGAGAAATGCATCAGGAACAGAAAAGGCCGAAGAGACCGCGTCTTCAGCGTTCTCAGCAAGTGATGTGGGGAAGCTGGAGGTGCACAAGCTGAGCATTAGCCAGGTAGCTTCCTCAGGTGTACGCAGAAGCCATCAGAAAGAAGGCTGAAGGCCTAACTGTAGAACCTCTAACATGAGATTTCACAGGAAAACATGAGGAACGTTCCTGAGGGTAAGGGCCAGAGCACAGGCAGCAGAAGTGATGGCAGACAAGTGGATTACGTCCAACTAAGAAGCTTCTGCACAGCAAGGAAGCTGCAGAGCTGAGAGACAACCTAGAGAGTGGGAGAAAACATCTGCAAACAATCTGAAAGGGTAACAATATGTAGAATAGAAACAGAACCAAAATAATAGTTAAAAATCCTTCAACAGCACCCAATCACAAGAAAAACAAAATAATTCATTTTTAAAACAAGGTAAATAGCTGAATAGACACTTCAAAAACTAGGCTGTGCGCACGGCCAACCATTTTGAACAATGCTCCGCACCCTACTCACCAGGGAGGGCGACTCAGAACCACTGTGCGATGCCGTCCCACTGCAGCATGGCTCCACAGAGAGAAACGGGAAAGGCCTGGTGCAGAGGTGGAGTGAGGGCAGGCCCAGCACAGTGGGGGGAATGTAGGGATTAGAGCTACGGTGGATAACTGCTGTGGAGATGAGTGCTACACTCTTCATGACACAGTTATCATGGTAATCATCAAATCAACTGATCCTGTGGAAATGTCTCAAAAAGCTAAAAATAGAAATACTATCTTACTACTAGAGATCTGACCCAAGAAAGTGAAATCTTGATACCACAGAGATATTTATCCTCTGATGTTTACTATTGCACTATTTCTTTTCTTTTCCATCTTTTTTTTTTTTTTTTTGGCAGAACTGGGGATTGAACTCAGACCCTTGCACTTGCCAGGGAAGCGCTTATTCCACTGAACCATCTCCCCGGCCCCTTGTATCACTATTTCAACACAGTAGTTAAGGTATAGAATCAACAAGGCTCTCTGTCCATTAAGAGATGAAGACCAGTCTGTTGTACATGTCCACAGTGAGGACTTTTTAGTCACAAAAATGAAATCTGCTCACATGCAGCAACTGGGCCAGAACTGGAGGTCAGTATGTTAGGAAATGAAGCCCGGATGGAGAAGTATCATAGCTTCTCACTCCTGCATGCAAGCTAAAGGGTCTGCCCCACAGAAGAAGGGTATCCACAGGGTCATTGAGGCAGGAGTGGGAGGCAAGAGGAGAGGCAGTCATTGATAATGTGCTGGAGCTCAGATGTGGCCTTCTGGAGACATGGCAGTGAGCACTGGTCCCAGAAGTCCGCGAGACATTCCAAGACAACTAAAAGGTGTGACATATCCAACACGCAACAGAGATTAACTGTTGAAAAGATGGAAGAGCTTATTTCCTTGATTATTACACACTGTGAACAAGTATGAAATTGCCATAATGTGCTGCATAAAGATGTACCAATATTGTTGTAATTGATATGAAGAAAAATGATAGAATAATTTATTAAAAATTCTCGTTATGGGCCAGGGAGATAGCTCAGTAGAATAAGTGCTTGCCTGGCAAGTGCAAGGCCCTGAGTTCAATCCCTGGTACTGCAAAAAACAAACAAGCAAACAAACAGACAGACAAACAAAGGGATTCTCATCATGAGGGCAGCTGAAAATTCTCTAGCGAGGTACCTAAAAGTGTTGACATGCCACGACCACTGTTACGCAGATGAGGATGCTGATGACCTGTTAGTTGAAGAGCCAGCTGCACTATTTGTGACACATTTATTGTGGTAAATATCAAGCCACCTTGTCCTCAAGTGATGTTGGGACAAAGAACTGAACATGAAGATACAGTAGGAGTAGTAACCGAGGGCAGTGATGTTGGTCTGCTTCTAAAATACTAAGTCAATCATGGTTAATTCACTAAATCAAAGCCACCCACCAAATATAAACTTCATATTGAGAAGCCAAATCAAGCCTGGGGGAGGGAAAGATGGCTGTTCTGTTTAAGGCGGCCCTCGTGTACAGAGCAAGGGCAGGGCCTGTGGTGTGCTGCGTCGCACTGGGCTCTGTGCTGCAGTCATCCGTACAGATCTCCAGGGTGGTGTCCTTCCCGGGCCTCCCTGAGTGGCATGTCTTTAGTGAGCATCACCCATGTTCCAGCATGTGACAGTAGGTGCAAGCCAGGGGCTGCAGTGCTGGTACAGTACTGTTCTCTGTACAGTAAGCATGTGTTAGCGTTCTGTGGCTGTGACAAAACCTGAAAACAATCAATTTAATACAGAAAAGGTTTATTTTGCTTCATAGACTTTGAAGTGTCAGTCGATGGCAGCCTGGGAGGGTCAGTCTGCAGATGACGTCATGGCCTGTAGGACTCAATGACCCCTGTGACCCTTACGATGCCCTGGCCCTGTGACCCAGCCACCTCCTGCAGCTGCACCCCTCAGGCTTGCTGCACAGTGGACTGAGTGCTCCACACATGAGCTTTTCAGATGCAAGCCACAGCACAGTCTTCAGGTTTGACTGCTGCATTGCTTTTCAGAAAGTGCCAGCTTTACATTCTTACATTTTAGGTAAAAATTGCACTTTAGTCTATATTCTAGAGAGTGTGTGTATGCTTTGTCTCATCCTTGACTAGCCTGACTTTAACTTCCAGTGATTAGATACTCAGCCTAAAATAATTATGGTTCCTAAAATCATTACAGCCTTCCTAGAAGGCCTTAGGAAGCTGTGCTGTCTCACGTTTATAGCCTGATTAGGAAGCTGTGCTGTCTCACGTTTATAGCCTGATTAGGAAGCTGTGCTGTCTCACGTTTATAGCCTGATTCCAAATCACGGTCTGTACTGGCACTCACGCCCTTGACTGCGTTAGTTTGAAGGGCTCACAGCCTTCATCTGACTGAGTGCCCACAGCAGCGCTGGCAGGTAGGTGCTGTTGCTTCATCCTGGGCCTCAGGAAAAGATCATGTGGTCTTGGCTGGCCAGATAGCTCAGCAGACTAAAGCGCCTGCTTTGGCAGAGCTCAGCGGCCAGGGTTCAAGCCCTGGCCTGCCATGCAGGCCTGCCCCCACCCCCAGGGCCTGTTGAGAGGGTGACTGAGACTGGGCGTGGTGCCACACACCTGCAATCCCAGCACTTAGGAGGCTGAAAAAGGAGGATCATTACAAGTCTGATCTAGTGTGATCTACTGAGACCCTGTAGACCCTGTACTAAACTCACACACACACACACACACACACACACACACATACACGATCATATGGTCTTATTAGAGGCACAATAATGAGTACAAACTGACAAGAAGCACACACACAAAATACTTGTTGAGTCCAAGAAAGCGCAAGTTTTACTCTTTTTCCTCCAGAAGCATAATGACTTGTGTGTCTGTGATCCAGAAGTTTCGTATGAGGCATAAGCAGGGCTTGCAGAGGCAGGACGGGACAGCCTGCAAGGCTTCTCATTGTTAGCAAGGTAGGATCACAGGTTACAGGGCGGCTTGGTGCCCCAAAGTGTACCACAGCCAGGCATCCTGGGTGCTTGGGCGTTCTCTCAGGTTACAGGGGGCAAGAAAGAAACTGCGGAGCCACGAAACAGCTGCAGCGCTAGGTAGCTTCAAAGAGAGCAAAGTTCTGAACATGGTAAGTTTCCTTGCGTGGCTTTCCCCTCCTAGTAATATATCTGTAGGATTCATGATAGAGCTTTTCAAGTTCTAAATCTCCTAAAAGTAACTGAAAGAAATATGCCAACATAAAATCATAATCAACTGTAGCTTTCCCAGTGGTTTTCCATCTTTTGTAGGGGGCGTCTCCTAAGGATGGTATTCTTTAAAGCTGCCATGACATCCTTGTTTCTCAGGCTATAAATGAGAGGATTAAGCATAGGGGTAAGGATGGCATTAAACATAAAGAGAGACTGGTTTAATTTGGGCGTCTCAGAGGAGCCAGGCCTCATGTAAACCAATATGGCGGGGCCAAAGTAGAGGGTGACCACGCAGAGGTGGGAGGAGCATGTGGCCAGAGCCTTGCTCCTGCCCTCAGGGGAGTTCATGTGGAGGACAGTGAGGAGGATGAGGGTGTAGGAGGCCAGGATGAGACTCAGGGGAATGAGAACCACCAGAAAGCTGGACGCGACCACTGCCTTCACGTACGCAGAAACGTCCTCACACGTGAGCTTCAGGAGGGCCATGACCTCACAGAGGAAGTGTGGGATCACCCTGGGGCGACAGAGGGGGAAGTGCATGGCATAGGCTGTGTGAGCGAGGGATGTGACTGCCCCTCCTGCCCAGGACGCTGCGACCATCTGGGTGCAGAGGCTGGGGCTCACGAGGACCGAGTACCTCAGGGGCTTACAGACAGCGACGTAGCGGTCATAGGACATGAAGGTCAGCAGGAGGCACTCGGCAATCCCCAGAGTTAGACTGCTGAAGACCTGGGCTCCGCAGCCACCCTGGGATATGGTTCTCCTCCCTGAGAAGAAGTTTGAGGCCATCTTGGGGACAGTAGTTGAGATCAAGGTGAAGTCAATGAAGGACAGCTGGCGGAGCAGGAAATACATGGGGGTGTGGAGTCGGGCATCCCACAGGATGAGGAGGATGAGGGCAGCATTGCCCATGACAGCCAGCAGGTAGACCAGAAGAATGAGGGAGATGAGGACACCGAGGTGGCGGAACTCAGGCCAGAGGCCCAGCAGAATGAAGTCTGTGGTGACGGTCTCATTGTAGCTCTCCATGGCTGAGCACCATTGTCCTGGAGGAACAGCCAAGCCCGTCAGAACATCTTCCATCAGTTTCTGAACAGCAAAGTGAACCACCAGCAGGGTGAGGAGGCAACCTAAAGAATGCAAAGAAGTTCTCCAGGCACTATTCTGATAGAGGACTAGCATCTAAAATATCTAAAGAATTAAATTTATTAACTGCCCAAATCAAATGACCCAATAAAAAATGGGCAAAAGATCTGAATAAATGCTTCTGAATTTTGTTCAGTGGGAAGGTAAAACTGGGATGAGGAAAAGGACAAGAAAGAAGGGAAAAAGATATATTTAAGTCTATATGCAGGATGACTCGGTTAATTGTGCTGCCAATTTCTGCTGGCCTTTTGAAAGGAGCAGTTAATGCTTAAAATTATTTTCTTTTTATTCTAATTTTTTTCTTTTTAATTTCTTATAACTTTTTTTAAAACCAGTTTTACAAGTTTGTATCTGGTACCCTAAACAACTAATTGGAAGATAGCATTGTGCAATATGGCAACTATTGTTGAATTCCCACTACTTTTGTTTAGTAAATTTTTTTTAAAGGTACTGGGCATTGAACTCAGGACCTTAAGTACACCAGGCAATCAGAACGCCAACTAACCTCAACCCAATTAAAAACACACGGAGACATATAATAGTCAAGATCCCAGAAAATCAGCACAAGAATAATCTACTGAAAGCCACTAGAGAAAAGAAGCAGATCACATTCAAAGGAAAAC